TAGACGAGAAGGAGATGCAGGAAAGCAGATGGTGTATCTTTCTGCTTATCTTTGGCAGCCTGGAGACAGTTGTTTAAATTTTCTTTTCTGTCTCCCCATCTTAAGTGCTATTTTATTGAAAAACATTGTTGAACTAGTTTTTTTTAATGCGCTTCTTTAATCAGAAATACTTTGGAGATCAGAAACTAGCCACAAGTTTTTAAATGTACCCTAATGTCTTCCGTGGTTGTTTTTCTGGCTGGTAACCTATCAGTTCCTCCTTATCTGGGAGCAGGAACTTGGGGTATGGACTCTTGTTCGCTAGGACAGCTCATTTAGCTTTTCTCTTTCATCCTCTTACAAAGCTGACGCCTAATTTTTTTCAAGACTCTAAGTAACTATTGCTGAAGTTTTAGTGCCCTAGTTTCTTGCTGCAACCTAATATTGTAATTTTCATGGCTGCAGTATTCTGAAGGGGTCGCAGGTGATTTTTGAAGAAATGACATTGATAACTGCTTGTGGTGCTACACTCATTTTCCCATTTTTATGTGTTCATGAATGAAGGACAAGTTAGTTGAAATTCTAGGCCAGATTTCAACAGAAATTTATGGGATTGTGTTTAGTTCTTCACTGTGAACATATAAGAATTTTTACTTGGAGTTGTACTTCATGTTTTTTAGCAATATTTTTTGAAGACAGAAAGACCAAAATATAATACATTATACAATTTGGATTTTATAAGAAATTTAGATATAAATAGGATTTTTTTTTCCCTTGAAAATTTATGTAATCTGTCTAGTCTCCTCATCTGGTAAAACTTCAGTGAGTTCTGCATCCAGAACTTGCATTCAGCAAGAATAGCTGACCCATTTGAAGGAGCTCACAAAATAGCAGTGACAGTTAGAGATCAAGAAAGCATTATCTCTGAGGAAAAAGAGAAAAAAGTATTTAGTTCAAAGACAGGATTGAAGGGGAGCTAATATATGTGTTTAAAGTTGTAAAATGTTCTGCACAGAAGAAAAGGAGCAATTTTGTTCTTTCCATTCACAGCAAATAAAGGAAATTACAAGAAAATTCCATTTCGGTATTAGGGGAAAAGTTAATAATAAAAGATAAAGAGACAATGAAATAGTTTGGGAAGGCTGTAAAATCTTCATTGAAGGTCTCTAAGAGACTGGACCAATGATTTCCAGGAGAGGGAACTGAAACTGGCTTGGAAAGAAAGCCTTAGGACTCTGCTACTGGTTTTGCTGCTACCAAAAAATAGAAAAGAGTTTGAAGGTCATCAGATAGAAGCCATGGAAAAATATAGATTTTTTTAACACTCTGATCTGTCTGCATGCTGTTTTGGAGCTAAACATGAGCTCACATAAAGCAACTGACTTGAAAGCAGCACAGCCACAACACACAGGACCTAGTACTAAGATGAAAAGGCCCACTCAGGGCCTGACACTATTTTTGGAGTTCCAAATGAAAAACTTTTATCTTTATGTAGAACGTTTTTGCTGACGGAGAACAAGATGCCTTTTAACAATTTTACATGCAAACCAAGACAAATGAAACATAGAAAAATATATCCGAAACACTAGGGTTAAACTGCATTTAACAAAAAAACCCACTTCCAAATCCTGTGTTCATATGCGTTTATTTGAACTTATGTTCAAAACAAAATAAAAGTAAGTGCTGATGTGATAAATGAGAAACATGACATGTGGAGAAACCTCTGCAATGTGTTAATGTTCATCTGTAGAGTTTCTTCCGTCCTTTGTAAGAATTGCAAAAGACACATGCAGGTTTTTAATACACCTGCAGGAATTTTACTTTTTAAATACTGCTAGGCCAGAGGAATGCTTCAGCCTGCTGTACCATAATACTAAAAAGGTATCCATTTGAGTTGGATTTTTTCCATGTGTGGTTCACTGTCAGCCCTCTTGGTTACACAAAATACACCCCATGCTATGTGTGTTATTACACTTATACTATGCACTTATTTCTCTTATGTAAGTGTAATTTTAAATTAAAGATACACGCTCAACTAAGAACCTTTCAAAGGGTATAACTAACTAAACTAACTAAATAAATAAAAGACCTTTTATTTTGCAGTAAAACTTGTAAGATATTATGTGGATGAGGAGGATGTTTACATCAGCTCAAATGGCAGTGATCCTTAGAGAGCTTTCGTATGACTTGAATCCTGTCTTTTAAATATAGCAAGTGCATTTATTCATCAGTTTTATATCTGATTGTTGAGAGGTCTTCGTCACCAAGTGGTTTTTGCCCTGCTCCAGTCATAAGCTTCAAATGAAGCGGCCGTTCAACAAGACATCCTTTTCTCTAAGGGGAACAGAATGTACAAAGACAATATATCATCTGGATTAAAAAAAATACAGCATAATAAGTTTTGCAGGGTATACATCACCTCATTTCAAGAAGATATTTGAGTAGATGAGGGTATGGCTGTACCTAAAAAGAATGTCTGAGCTAAGTGCGTGCGAAATGTCTTTCAGTCCATCCTGATTGATCTTAGATTGAGGCTCACACTGGACATTTGTAAAATTAAATTCATTCTAGAAGTGTGTTATGAATTTTTGAAGAATAAATTAATTACAACGGTGTGGATACTAAATGCAAAAAGCAAGCAGGGAACAGAGCCTGTGCGAAACTAAGTCATATGGGCTTCTCACTCTGGCCTGGGAAAGCATACAAAGGAATCCAAGCAGTCCTTGGTAAAGGACAACAATTTGCAAGTGTTGTTTAGTCAATAGGTGGTGTTCCATTTAACCAATGCTGGTGATGTGTTACTTTAATGACCAATGAGAGTTTTACCTCTCAGACCTTGAACATGTGTATAGAAGAAGATTAATAATAATGAACTTTGCTCTCTTGGACAATGCAGCTAAGAGAGTCATCTCGTACTGCTTCACCGTTCCAAATATAGAACAGCTTTAAAGTGAGTGATATGAAGAAATTCATAACTGATAATCATTCTCTCAATACCCTGTGGTTGCCTAATGTTATAACAACAAAGTGATAGCATCTGTGAAAATCATCAGAGAATGAATTTACTTTTTAAAAATCATTCCTAAACAGGTTTGTTATTTTATACATGCCACTTTTGAAATTTGTCTGATAAAAAAGCATCAGCACTGTCATATGTGGGTTAGTAAAAAGTTTAAGTTACATAAAAATTGAAATTCTGCTTAAGTCAAAGCATTTGAATCATTCAATTTTTGTCAAAAACAAGACAGGTTACTAGTATAAGTTCTTAGTTTGCATGATCTTATGCTTGGCTTTCCTGAGATTCGTTAATAGACCCTTAACAAAACTTCATTTTAATTGTGATATTGCAAGAAAATGTTTATTGTTTTCCTTAATTTCACTTTTTAAGCTGAGAGTGGATCTGATTATTAAAAATGTACACTTGAGCTCGGAGTTGTAGCAATGGGGAGCAAAGACACAGACCTCTTTGTGCATGCAAAGGAAATCACTTTAATGTAGAAGTTACCCCCCTTTTATACCTTTAGTCTCAACCAGACAAAACCAAAACATAAGAGGAGAAGGGCACCTATTGGCTGGCACAGCTGTAGTGTGCTGTCGACAAGTCATATCTCACCTATATATTCCATATATAGTTATGTTTTTGTCCATAACTATATCTCACCCCCCAAGATAACTAAGTGACTTCTAACCATCTGTCCTGCAGCTGTGCCTTCACACAGGGCCCTCTGGTGAACATAAGCTTTTACAAGTTTTAACAGTTATAACCCCATATCCCACACAGTCTGCTGTATGTACACACATTTCTGCTTGTCTTTGTCAAACTGTATTTCAGACCTTTGCTTTTGTAGAAAAGTAAAAAATGTGAATGAATGAAGACGTCAGATGTAAATAAAAGGTATTACGTAACCTCTCTGTGTGTTTCATTGTCTTTGATTAAATCAGAAAACAAGGCAGAAAAAGGAAAGGTAGAAATGGGGAAAATACAAGTCTGTATGTTTCAACAAGACAAACTGCACTTCAGACAGCCTGTAGTGAATATCTTAAAGTTTCTGTAGTGAAAACTGAAAAAATTTAAATGTTAAAATAGTTGCAAAGTCAGATGTTTGGACTCTGAAAATTTTGACACTGATTTTTAGTTTTATACTCCAGTATGCCCGTCAGTGAGCGCTGTACACTTAGTTCAGCATTCTGAGTAGGCCTAACTCTGTTATAGGGCTTGAGTTGCCATGTAGGTGAAATTTTTATTTTTTTTTTATGTAGCTAGCACAAGGGGGTAAAAACATAAGTCCTTCAAAAGAAGAGTTGGATGATCTTTGGAGAAAACATGACAAAAAGGGAAGACTTCGGAACAAGCTGGAGAAGACCAGAGAGACACTCAGGACACAACAAGACACAAAAAGAGAAAAATAGAATATTTGCCTTGTCCTTGTGGTTGTCTTAATTTAGGTCCTGTTTCACAAGGATGTTAATACACGTCCATGAAAAATGGTCGCACCAGTAGTGCTCATCCTTTTACACAAAATAATTTAAGGGAGCAAGCCTCCAGGGACATGCTGAGAAAAGAGTCTGTCATTTATAGTTTTATGTTGGCATTCATTATTCTTATGTGGCATTATATGTGTGTATGTTTATTTATTGCTTAGGATAGCAATGACTTATTCCTATGAACATATTCCAGAAAAACTGGAGTTCTCTTTTGTCCAAATATTGGACAAGTTTTTTATTTGATCGATTGGCCAGTTTTGTTTTATTTTATTTTGGTTTTAATTGTTTTGTTGCTGTTGCTTTCTAGTTCTTTGTGCAACCTAGAAATAAAACCAGCTGTTTCATGTGACTGTTTAACACATCTAGATGGCATGCTATACAAGATCAGAGCATGTTTGTAAGTAAAGTATTAGTCTCCTCTACAGTGGTGAGAATATTTATGGACTTCAGGGTCTCAAGACAAAAGTGGTGTTTCAACAGGTGACCAAATTGTATGTTTTGTGGTCTTTACAGGTCAGCATACAGAAGTGCAAAAATCCCAAGCTGACATAATGAACAACCAAGAGGCTGGTGTTCTACGTTGCTGGAGATGTAGGAAATGTATAGCAAATTCTGTTTTTCTTGCAAAATGTAATGGGAAAAAAACATCCAAAGTAAGTATAGCTTCTTTTGAGGGAGTTTGTAAGTTCTTCTGGTGCCATTTATTTTAAATTAACAAGAAACATTAGACTTAGCCTCAGTTTGTAATTAATCTCTTGTGGAGTTACGTAGAGAGTAGCGGAGTTCTGTAGAGAGTAGTGTAGGAAGTAATTTTAGTGAAGCCAAGTTATGATAACCTTCAACAAGCCAATGATAACTTTCATGTTCTGCAACGTGCAGGCTGGTGTTCATGGACACCTGACTACTAGCCTGTATAGAGCATCACCATTTGTAATATAGAAATATATTTTCGATTTGGTTTTGATGGTTTCAAAGCAGTTATTTTTTTTGGTTTTAATATCTCTTAAAGGACAATTATTTGTGTCTAAGGTGTATTTTTAAGACTGATTCTAATTTCCACTGTGGTGGTTAACTGTGTGTAGAATCGGAAAATTTTGCTATTCATTTTTTTAATATGGGCCATAGTCTGTGCACAAGAACAGTTCATAAGATTAGTCTGCCCTGAGCAGGGTTATGGCCTGCTCAGTAATTTATATTATCTTTATTAAAATAAACAGAAGGATAATTACACAGAATAAAACTATGAAAGATTATTTCCTACTGTTTTATAATGGCAGCTACTAATAAAGACCTAGGTTCTTTCCAGATGTGCCAAAAAGGCTTACAACCTCTTGAATCAAAATTAAAAAGCAAATAGAAGAGAAGGTGGTGATGTTTTTATTAAGGTGTTAGTAATGCAACAACATTCTTTCTGGCACTAGAGAGGGGTACAGCCAATAGGTGTAGAAACTAAGTTACTTTTTAAGGTCAAGATAGTATTATCCATAAACCCCATTTTAATCACTTTGCTTACAGAGCTTGAAGTTCTGGAATAATTTTCACACTTTATATTTGATGGTTCTTTTTTGTGTGGGTTGAAGTGATTTTTAGGGATGAATTCCACCTGCTTCCATGGAAAAAATGTAGTGAAAAGAAGGAGTTATCTTTTTTCAAGCTCCCCATGGTGGAGCTTTCAGTTGTGAGTGGAGGTCCACCCATCATTGTGCACATGACTGAAGCAGCTTCTTCTCCAGTTATGTAGATAGCAAATAAAAAAGTATAATTTAGCACTGTATCTAAAGAGGTTGGGAGGCAAAGACAGTACTATGATAAGAAGAGTAATGTTTTCAGCATGTTTTCACAGGTGAATTTTAGACCTTCAGTCAAAGACGTAGCTGAATTATGAATGAAAAAATATAAAACAAATTTTAAAACAAATGTGCAAATTACAAACATAGTATAAACACTAATAATTGTATCCATTTTGAAGTGCAGATAGTCTTCACAGAGAGGACAAAAAATCCAGCATAGACATATAGCATAGATATATTGATCTATCTGTCTTCTATCAATACTTGGAGAATTTTTAAAAGCTTCTATCTTCTGTCTGTAGTCACACTTTTAATTTTTAGCAAAATGAAATTTTTATTCCAATGACTTTTAATTTTTTTTTTTTTTATAAAATCCACAGTTTTCCATATTCATAAATCTTAACAACTGCTTTTAAGGACTTTCTCACCAGAGTTTCCTTATAATTTTAGCCATCCCTGTATCTCTACTTTAGTTAGGTAATTGCTTTTTTTTTAGTATCAATTACTGAAATGCTACAGGCTTTTAGATTTTTTTTTTCTCTTCAGTTGATCACATTATTGCAGTAAAAACTCTAAAGTCTAAACTAAAAGACTTTAGACTGTTACCAGAGTAACTGGTTACTCTGTTATTTATTCTAAAAAGCACTAGAAAATTAATTCCACTTGTTGCATTTGTGCATTGCTGATTACAGTCTTCATGTAAACTATATTTTCTGTCTTTACTGAAAAATTATGCAGGCTTACACTGATTCTAAAATCAATTTCCAAATATTCTTAGAAGGCCTGCAACTGCATACTTTCTGCTCTTTTAAACAAAACAAAACCACCTCCAGACACCTACATTTCCTCAGTGGAGTTTGCCCAATGTTCTTAGATACAGAAATAGAGAACTATTGACAGTATCTACCTGATTTTTAGCTTAAAAAAGCACATCATATTTGAAGTTTATAATTTTTTAATGTTTACTGATTTTGGGGAGCTGACTTCTGGCTATATTCAAAGAAAAAAAAAAGCTTACATAAATTTTGAGTACCAGTACAATTGTTTTATTAACAGATATCACAACTTTCAGCTGCTGCTCAGAATTCTTGCAATGCATGGCATGTAAGCTTAGAAGCCATTCCAGAGTGGGTGAAATGTGTCATTGAAAAGGTAGATATTTTTTTCTTGCATCTTTATTATTCAACTTGTAAAATAATTAAGGGGACAAATTTCAAGGACACTTTTCTGGCTAGATCCATGTATTTTACAGAGACCTTTTAACTGAGGGAATTCTTCTGAGGAACTTCTATCATTACCATTTACAGATTTCTTTTCCTCTCTTAAATGTTGTTTAATTTTGTTTTGTTTTTAACATATGCAGAAGTGCTACAAGTGATAAATTCTGTTTCCTGCTCTTTAACTGATGAATGTGTCTGTGGTTTTCCATAAATATCATGGGCATCGCTCCATGTTTGTTAATGCTTGATATTATATTTATTACCTAGGCTTTGCGGTTTGCTTTGTTTTGATCATCATATCTTGCAGTACTAACATGTAGGTTGACAGTGACAACAGAAGCATGTTTCCCCATAAAAGTGGATTGGAGGTTTGTTAAGAGATCAGTTTTTGGAATGTATTTTATATTTAAGTCTCTTATACTTAATGTGCACTTATGTCATACATATAGAAAGTAGATACCTTCCTGAAAATTCAAAGGTCTGATTACAAGCCAGTGTCACAGCTTTTATGAGTTTTAACTGCACATTTGAAATTACAAACCATCTCATAAATTTCTTGTTGTACTGACTACTTCTGTTGGTGTTTTCTTAAAGTTGTTTTAGATCTAGAAATTAATGTTGGGGCTTAGATACTAATAAGCAGAAGCTGTACTTTTTGCAGCACAGATTTTCTTTCAAGAATCTTTGATTTTGATAAGTAAATAATGTTTGCATTCCTTTCTCCTTAGACTTCAGTATAAAATTTTACTATATTTTAAGTAATTTCTGCCCTAAGCAAACCCATGAAGATGATGCATAAAGACAAAATATTGTTATGACTGTTGAACTAAGCATTCAAAAAAATTTAAAAACTTCATTTTCCTTCTTTGTATTGCTCTATCTGGGTTTTTTGTTAAAAATTAATTAAACTTTTTAAAATTAGTTGTCTCTTCTACTTCAATGAACATAACAGAATAGTTATGTTCAGAAACACTAATCCTGGAGGTGTGTTTGAAAATTACAGCTCATGAGTTATTTCCTCACTTTACAATATTGCCTAATCATGACTCTTCAATAATGAGGCAGTTTTTTACAGTTTTTTTGCCTCTTAAATTATTTCAGTAAAATTGGATTCAATATTGATAGTAATATTGTTTTCACCTTTAGCTCTTAAATTATTCTTTTGGACCTTTAGCTTCTGCATTTGAAAACCTGGAGGGTCAAATTGGGGACCAAGGAAATACAAAGCCTGTGGACTGCTTGACACGTTTACTTAAGGTTGCAGAGGAGCAATTCTCCTCAGGGGAGAAAGGCAGACAATGCAATTTTTTGTGTGCACCTTAGACATCATTGTGTTCATTGTATCACTTATTATCCTTGGAACTCTTGCCTCATTCACTTTGTCTCCTCTGGCAAGATCCTGTGTTTTTATGGATAAATGTTGGGGTGTGGGGGTGTTAAACAATTCTGATTTATCTCCAGATCCTCCTGGGCTCTGAATAATTTTGCGATCATGTGTTATTTTCTCCTGTATGACTCCTGAATCAAAGGCTAAATCATTTTACATAAGTGCAAAATCTATTTGCAGGCTGTAAAAACCCACTGCTTCCCAGACAGTTCTTTTTTGCCATCTGTCCCTGTTCTTAACCAATCTCCTTGGATTTCATGTACATATTAATATATAGATAATCTTCAATAATTATAAATATGTAGCTAGTGCTGCTAGTGACCTTTATTGACCTGGATTTTCTTTTACCCATCACTTATCCCTTGTTTTGGTTTCTTTTTCCAGCCATTTCCATTTTTTCCTCTTTATGCAGTCCATCACTAAATCTGTGTACCCTCAGCTCCCTTTCAGATCTTGCTGATTTTCCCCCTACCACCTCCTCCACTAGTAGGCTGTTACATCTTTTACTGAGTCAGTGCTTCCACACTCCATTGCCAAACTCATGCTAAATCAGTCCCAGGCTCCTTGGTACCACACCTCATCTCCCAGTCTCTGTACACATGGGACATAGAGATGTCCTTTTTCCTCCATACTGTGTCTTGCACATCCATTTTTTTCCAGGCTTCTAGCCTTCTTAATTTTCGTGAATCACTCTGCTTCTCCATTTGAAGATTCAGGATGCTATTTTACGCTAGAGAGACCCAATAAAGTCACTGGAAAGTGCTTTTCCCCTAATTTTAGTGTCTAGACCCTGGCATCTGGGAAATGGAGTGTGGGAGACTTAAGACTAAGTCTCAGAACAAGCTTAATTCTTCTTTAGGCATGGCCTGTGTACACACTGGCCAGCCTTATAAACTGAGAGGGATTGTGCATGTTTACTGAATTCTCAAGAATTTTAAAGCCTTTGGTTATATGTAAACTATTATTTTTTCTCCAAGCTACAAACCTTTCCAGATTGAAATAGATTCTTATTGGTGCAATGAAAGATATATCTTTGATATTTTGTGTAATTTTGAGGTTTTAACCCACAAGGCAGGAGTAAGTTTCTCAAGTAAGTGTTTCCAGAACTTCTGGCATTGTGTGTGTGTGGTTTTTCCACAAAAGTTGCTGGAGTTTTTTTATGAAACTGCTAAATTGGTTTTTCTGACATTTTCTGCAGCTTTCAATAGGACAAGCATCCTTATGTTATGGACATACCTTTCCAAATCGCCTTGAAGAACATTTGTAACTGAAAACAATGCTTAAACTGGAAATGTCGGGCAGCTTCCATATTCATGGTTCTTTAGACGCTCAAGTTAGTGAAGTATGACTGGAGTTGATAATGTTTTTCTCCCCTGGGCTTTGATCCTACAAACACTTGCATAATTTTAGTGCTCAACAGTGCTCCTGACAGATGATCATAATTTCTGAAAATACTAATAGTTGTCTAAATATGTAGGAGGACTAAGAGTTGTATTAATATGTAGGCATTTATAGATCTTTGATATGTATTTCCTTTTGAAAAAGTGCCTTCAGGGTTGAAAAGAAATTAATAGAATTATAAATAATGAAAATAACTGTCTCCTTATATATAGATTATTAAGGATTTGTCATGGTATCTACACAGAGATTATGTTGTTATGCTACATACACCAAAGTAAAAATACCATTTTAAGCTTTTGTGGGGTAATCAAAGTGAAAAGCCATATTCTTTTCATAAGAAATCCCCTTCCACTGTACTTAGTATGCAACAAATGTATCAGCACTCAGAACACTCAGCTGAAAAGCTGTGCTTGCCAGTTCCAGATTAACTTGGGAAATTGATTTCACTGCTTTAAAGACCTAATGTTTTCATTAGTATTGCAGTATTATGCTATCTGTCAATAAATTTTAAACATATTTCAAAGTGTCTACATTTCACAATATGTGTTTTAGTTTTCTCAGAATTAGTTATCACTGTAGCAAGCAGAGATTTGACCAGAACATTATTTATCATGGATTTGCTTTCTTCTGTGAAGTGTCTTTTATTGTGTTTGAAAAACAAGAAGAAAGTCTTCCTACTAAGGGAGAAAATAACTCCAGTAATTATTTATTGCTAATTTATTTTCAGTGAACATGTTGTATGGTTTTTTTTTTGTTTTTTTCTCTTTTTGTCAATAGGCACAGTGGACAATTGGAAAACTGCACTGTCCGTTCTGTGAGGCCTGCTTAGGGGGCTTTAACTTTGTTTGCAACAAAGAATGTTCCTGTGGACAGCTAGTAAATAGACATTTCTGCAGAAGTTGGACTGAGCATCAGCCACATTTGTCTGTTAAATTGTCAAAAACATCAGAAAAACATTTGCTTCTCAAAATTCAGTCTGGTTTTAAGAAGGATAAGTGCCATGAAGTAGTAACTGCAACTTTAGAAATCAAAAATCAAGGACTTTCCTACGCAGCTGGAAGTAGTAATGAAGCTGGCAGATTAACAGAAGCACTTTGTCTAGAAGTAAGAGCTCCCAGATATGAGATAGAAAGCAAAAAACTTCTCTTAAAGGCATTTAATCAAAAAAGAAATCTCCCTTCTTCCTGTCCTTTAAAAGATGCATGCACTGCAAAACCTTTTCACAGAAGATCACGTAGCTTGGATTTAAATACTGGAGAAAGACTTGTTTTGTCACCTGTGTTATATGAAACTTGCAACATGGGAGCACTTTACTGTGGCCAAAATGAAAATCCACCCACTTACATACAAGGGAGCTTTCAATTAGGGTCCAATAGGAAAGATGGTAGTTCTTTTCAGGATCTGAATAGTTCCAGTGCTGACTTACTACAAAACCAATTTCAAGTTACTTCCATTACCACATTACTACACAGAGAAACAGAAAGTGAGTGTGATTTTGAAGTTACCAGGCAATCTTCTGGGAGTGTCATTGCTGATGGGTCCCCATTTGTGATGAATCTTTCATTGCCTACAAGGGCTGTAGAAGACAAGTGGTACATCACACCTAGTGGTCTTGTACAGCCTACCAGTATTTCCTTCAACCAAAAGCTGAGTAAGAGAGAAAGAGACAAGTCAAAAAGCCTGAGGAGAAAACAGAGAATGAGAGAGCAATGTCTACAGAAGCGAGTAAGTGTTTAAAATTATTTATGCTGTTTTTTGGTAAAGTTTGACTTACTTTTAGAAATCATTCTGACTTTTTTTTCATGTTGTCTTTTAATACTGATTTAATGTGGAACTGTCTACAGTCAGGTATCAGGCAAGCAAAGATATATGACCCCTTCCCATGGGTAGATTTTTTCTAATTTCATCGTATCCAGTTTTCTTTCTGTGCAAAGTCAAAACATGATGGGTTTTCTTTGTCATTCTTATTATTTTGTGATGTAGTTGTAAATTTGAAGTGGGGAAAAACATAGTGAAATTTCATCAGTGGGATTAAAGAAAAACTAAATATTTGAATCTTCTAAATGAGAAACCCTACCATGTCAGAATTTTCTAACTTTAAACTAATGGCCTTTTGAGTTAACTTTACAGTTAAGAATGTTTTAAATGCATTTATTATTTGTTGTAGAACAAATACTTTTCTTTGAGTAAACAGTTGGTAACTGCTATTTAAAATGTTAGGCTTTAGTAGATAAATACTTTGTCTGCAATCTAACACAAACTTTTACATATTCCTATCAATTGTACAGTAATGGTTTCCTTCTTTAAACCATCTAAAGCAGAATAGAATTAAAGGCCATAGGCAGTCACAACTTTTGGTGGAAGGCTGGGAAGTAAAGTTACAAAATGACTAACACAGTTTTGGTTCGCTCTCTAATTTAGTAGAATGACTAATGATAATATGCCTTTGAAAGAAAATTTCTCATCATAAATTTCCTGCAGCGAAACAACTGTGTGGTAATCAAAAGCAAACATGCTAACTAATAAGAGAAGTTGTATCTACTTAAGCAATTTATTCCTGCTTTGGGTAGGTTTGTCATTGTGAATTCAAGACTTAAGCTCTCTTAAGAGCTTAGAGAGTACTTAGAATACTTGGAATACTTAGAGAGTGTCTCCCTCAATTGTATGTGAGACCTAGCTTGAAAATGTAATGGGTCTGGGAAATATTGTGAGTCTTCTCAGTATAGTATGCATATATTCTTTCTTCTTTGGGAAGGGTTTATGTTTTGCTTTAAGACTTAAACTGGTATTGAGACCTTTTGAAAACTTCTTCTTGTAAAATGTGTCTCTAAAGCTAAGAGTCTGGATGTCTTCATATAAAATACTTGTTTTCTAATAAGTCTATAAAAATTCTTAGATGTCTAGATCCCTAAAATGGCTTTAAAAATTCCAGATCCATTGTTTTGGTAAGTGAAATGATGATGTACAAGCACAATGTATATGAGCATTTTCACCATCATGTCACTTAGTCTCTCCAGACACTTTAATCTTTAGATGTTTTTTGCAATAATAAACCATTGTACAGATTTTCTGAATTTTCGATAGCTAAGAAAATTATTGGAGAGATGCCTCTACCCAAATTAAAGTGCAAACAAGACCATATTTTGAAGGCAATAGTATGAATTTCATTTAACAGTAAATGGGAGGTAGAGAGAGATACAAAGAAATAGAAAAGGAGGGAAGGGGAGTGAAAAAGACTGAGAGAGGCAGATTAAGTAAAAAGGTATCACCACCTGTGGTTCTAGATGTCACCCCATTGGTCCTCTTCTGGTCTTCTCAGTAGTGGGGGTCAAAGGTCACTCAAAACTTCTCCCCATTAGTACACTTTAGCAAAAAACAGGTGTTAATACTCATTGGGTACACAGTGCTCCTGTTCTCTTGGTTAAATGATTTGCTTGTTTCCAGTGCTGATTAGTCCCATGCTCAGTCTTCCTCTTCTTTTGAGTCAGTGGGCCATGGCATCCCTCTTCAGAGCTGGACCAGTCAGAGCTGATTTTCAGCACAGTTGCTGAGCTGGCTCTCCTTACACCACCCTGTGGCTCAAACACTGTATTCCAGGGACCTTTCCTTAGTTCTTGGGTTGTCCGTGGGGTGATAGAAATAGTGTGCAGTACAAGAAAAGACAAAAACCGCATAAACAATAACACATTTTACCCATGTCCCTTTTGCAGTCCATGGCTGTTTGTCCTTCTGGTCTAGAAAGGAAATTATCACCCATTTCCCATGGAACATTTTCTTTTGTTTCATTAGGATTATTCAGCTCATTCATTAATAACTCTGAAAAATTTAGCCAAATCATCATAAATCTAAGCCTTCTGAGGCAGAACTGATTAATACATATTTGTATGATTCCAAATATGCATAAATTCTTATGCCAACTCTCAGGCTAAATTTAATTTAGACAAAATTACACATTCATGAGACAAAAGTTAAAACTCTTCCCACACAATTTTTTTCCCAGTAAAAGACAAAATAAACCTGGCAAAAAATCAAACTAAAAACACATAAAATGGTTTGACTAATATATGGTCTCCCAACTAGTTCACTTGCAATGAAAACACAAACAAATCACAAACATTAATAAGGTGATAATACAAGCAATTATGATGGCAATGAAAAGTTTCATCGGTTCCATGCAGTTCAGTCTCATATGTTGGCAGGTTCCTATAAAAAAAAGTGAAAATTCAGCCTACTATTGACAGATTATTAGAGGATGGAAAATCCATCTAGTGTTGATTCAAATGTCCGGTATCTACCACAAATGTTAAAGGCCCTAAAAGAAAAGTATCATATCCTCTTAGCTGACTTCTGTGAGCTTTCTTATGTAAATCCACTGTTTCATCCACTCTGAGCTGGTTCTTTAGATCTTCAGTCCCGTCAGAGTGCTGACACTCCTAGAGAAAGAAAGCAACACAAATTTCCCTGGTAGGTTACCCCTTAGAGAGTTTTAACTTCTGTTTCATGAAGCATTTGGTGCACTCCTCTTGTTGCTTCCCTCATCTTTTCACAGGGATTTCCTCCATTTAATGTAATGTCTGGAGGGAATGAGACTGCTTGTAAAAATTTGACAAGTGTCACTACTTATGAATTACGGAGTGCTTTAATTGCTTAACCTAGATTTCTTTAAGGGTTAAGATTAGCAGACTTCAGCTTCTTACCCGGGGGCCATGAATTAACCTTAACAGTTTGGCAGATAACACTGGCTCAGTTTACTCCAACGATTTTACCTCTTTGCCATCCTGGAAGCATACCCAGATTTTCAGTATCCCAGTGCATTAATATTAATGGCTTTCAATCTTACCTGATTTATGGCTAGACTTTGATATCTTAGTAGTTGTATAAGGCACCATTCCAGTAGCTGTTTGCTGATCCTGGCAATCAATTGTGGTTTCAATTTTAATTAAGCATCAACATGTTATCAGATGCCAATGCAAACGGTATGTTTTGCTCTTTAGCAGAACAGCAGACTCATGCACTATCTCCCAACTTCTCCGTTAAACAAAAAATGTCAGTTTACAAGATCATGTTTCAGAGAATGTTAGAGGTTCTGTATCCTGCAGTTTTTCTCCTAAGATTCTCCGTCTCATGCACGTTCCAAAGCTCTTGGGCATCATCATGCTTGACAGCTAGCAGTGCATCTACTTGTATTCTTTTTTCGTTTTCCTTATTTAACTTACTTAACAATTCTTTCACCAAATCTTGTAGGGATATTTATTTCACAAGGTATTTCATCTTCAGATTTTTGAATAACCAATAGTTCATTATGAGGAACCAATAACTCAATTTTCTTGTGTCAACCCATCTGTGGGGTAGAAGGGAAACTAACAAATTTTTCAAGGAAAGGTAACAAAATACTTTTTTTGCACTGGCCATCCTGGACAGCCATTTTTTTTTCTAAAGTTCCCACAAGAGAAAACACATAAACTTCCTTAGAGGAAAGCTGTGACAAAGTTTCTAAGATTTCCCAGGGAAGGAACAACACAACCCCCCTAGAGGGAACTGTACTATTGTCAAAGACCATTCAGATCAGTGCCAACTATGATAAAATAATGTTAGCATCCCATTATTTGAGAGACACCTCTACCCAAACTAAGGTGCAAACAAGACCATGTGCTGAAGGCAACAGTATGAGTTTCATTTAACAGTAAATGGGAGGTAGAGAGAGATACAAAGAAATAGAAAAGGAGGGAAGGGGAGTGAAAAAGACTGAGAGAGGCAGATTAAGTAAAAAGGTATCACCACCTGTGGTTCTAGATGTCACCCCATTGGTCCTCTTCTGGTCTTCTCAGTAGTGGGGGTCAAAGGTCACTCAAAACTTCTCCCCATTAGTACACTTTAGCAAAAAACAGGTGTTAATACTCATTGGGTACACAGTGCTCCTGTTCTCTTGGTTAAATGATTTGCTTGTTTCCAGTGCTGATTAGTCCCATGCTCAGTCTTCCTCTTCTTTTGAGTCAGTGGGCCATGGCATCCCTCTTCAGAGCTGGACCAGTCAGAGCTGATTTTCAGCACAGTTGCTGAGCTGGCTCTCCTTCTGGATTCTTTGTATTCATTATCAGTGCTTCCCCAGCTTGTCTACCTCTTCCTAGTCTGAGATTATTGGACAAAATTACCACCTTTCTCTTTTCTCTAGTTCTTGCTGTGTGGCTTCATTTACTGTGGAGATTTCCTGGAATTCACAAAGGCTTATCCAACAGCGGCAGGGTGGGGGCCAGGGAGCCAGGGCAGTCACCAAGGAGCAGTTGCCTTTTGGTATGGTTTGCTATAATGAGCAAAATCCTTTGGTGAGCTTAGCTGTCTTTGAGACAATTTTGATCTTTAAGTCACTTACAATACTATATAGAAAATTATAAACAGTTTATAAATCTGTTAGTTCTCATCAGTAAACATATAGTTTACAAAATACAAAAAATTCAAAATTAGTGTGTAAACTAAGTGGTCGGTTTCAGGTAGCAGCTTTCAGAAGAAGATACTTTGGTTTGGATTGATTATTTTGTCCTTGGTGAGAGTTTGCAAGCATGGCATGGAATATTTAAATGGGTCTGCTTCTTAGACAGTGTCAAGATGCACATGTGTCTAGTACAGCTGTATTTCCCTGTGCTGAGGTATCTTTCCAGGAGAATGTTAGTCTAGAAGGTCACATCCTGTGTGCAGCCTGACATGTAAATGGGAATGGTCCTCTGCCA